AGATTGGTTTGGAAACCATTGCATGAAAAGAAATTAGATTTACGCGTTTAAACTCAGCTGCTATCTACCATGAAAACCAATGTTTCCAGAAAGACCATTAACACTTATATTTACCTAAAAAAAACCATGTACTAGATGACAAAAGTGCCGACAAGCAGGTGCATAGTAAAAGCGAGTAATCGATAAAAATCCATTCTAAAAGCCACTGTGGTTTTTGTACATTTTTATTTAACTACCAAAGGAAAAAAAAACCCGAATAACCGAATATTCCAAATGTAAAAGTATATGAATATATTTTTAAGATGTTTATCCCGAAACCCACGAAAACCCTAAATACAATATTTTTGTGATATGTCAACAATTTACTTTTTCTGGTTATAACTAATTTGAATAATCAATAGCATGAATAGAACAACTCGTTCACCATTCTTTACCGCTCAACCGGTCGAGTAAAAGAACGAACAAAATACAGAACTGGGTCTAAACCGATAAATAAATATAAAATTTGTCCTAAAATTGAAATACATAATTTTTCCCCCTGACAGCAAATTACCTGCATTCAAGAGTTTTTAGTCCAGAATTGCAGGAAAACAAATGAGTTTTGTTCAAAGAGTGTGTATCACTCGCGTTTACCGCAATAACGTAATGTACTAGAAGGGAAAATTTATCAATATGTTGCATGACATTATTCGTGCAACTGACGAAGGAAATTTGTCATGATTGGGCCACTGACTTATCACGCTGGTCTCTCCCAACACCCGGCTTCTTAGCTTGGATCTTAGTACCGAGTTTGAATTCCGTCGAGTTCTGTTCTGCAAGAATCATTTCTTAATTAGCCTTTCATTCGCTGGTCAGAATATCATTTATGATATTTAACATCAGGAAATATCTATTATAATCCTGTTTTGCCGCTCTGAACAGAAACTACACGACACGACGCCTCAATCATAAACCATGACAGATTCCGTGCCAGTTTCCACGAACTCTGTGCAAGACCAACCAAAAGGATAGGATGGTCGTAGCACGTCATAGAGCATTTTCCGCGAAATTAGTACGTCTTAAATAACTGCGGAAGTCTTAAGCCACAAGTACGAATATTTAAAAGACCGTCATTATGCACAAACTTTGACATTTCTTGCAGGGAGCACACAGGAGACAGAAAAGCAATCAAATTGGAGAGGCAAGTGCACTTAACAGTACTTAGAGGTTGAGGTTTTATTAGTCTATTTGCTAACTGGTTGTTAGCAAATAGTCGTTTGAGGATTTACAATGAGTGGCAATCGCCGAGGAATAGGTATGTAACATCTGATGCATATAAACTTACGTAAAAAGGGGAGCTTAGAACTTATGCTTACTTTTTCAAACGTAAAAAGTTTTCGTAGTACATAGAATGACCTCCTTTTATAAAGGTTTAGTTTCAAGTTGGCTGCCCTGGAAATGGCTTGCCAATGTCGAGTCAATGGCACGGTGGACGGCTACGTTTAGTTTTTGACAATATCTCCCTAACAAGTTAGAATTATGCCTGAGCTTTTGGCTGATTTTTTTGTCTTTTCCAAGAATTGAAAACGAATTTGTCCATACTCGGTGGAAACAACTTAAACATCTATTTCTTTCGTATTCGGCTCTTAGTTAGACCCTGATGTGAGATAGACTATTGCATTCTTTGTTTGCCTCAAAATCGATGCATTTTTAAGGAGATAGCTATCAAAGGAATGTGGG